GACCACCTTAGCCACGGAACGCGACAGACGTTGCGTTCGCAACATCTCCCAGCATGAGTGTCTGAGTGTCGGGTTGGAACATCACTTGGTTGTCGAAGGTGGGGTCCAGGGAGCCAGCCTCATGGAATTCCAGGATCGTGGTCAAGACGTATCGCGACTTCTCGTCTTCGCCGGCATACAACGTTTCCATGATATTCCAAATCAAGAGGCCGAAGCTCGTGTCAAGCAATATGGCAGATAGCGATACGCCCGACAAACAGCGGGAGCCCAAATGAGAAGCCAGTGCAGTGACCGGGTACTTGGTAGAGGCCACGATCGCAGCATCACTGTTGTAGTACGTTGGAGCATGAATGGCCAAGAGAACTTCTGCCACAGCCAACACTTCTTCCAGGTCGCCGCGGTGGAGGGAAATCTCGTCGCCGTCAATGGTAGTATCGATGAAGTCGATGTTCTTGAATAGCTCGATGTTGCTGAAGATGGCTTGAACGTGCTCGCGGGTCATACGCACACCCCACGTCAATGAGTACAGCTGGGAGAACGGTTTGTCTCCACCCCAAGTCGCTCGAAGCCACCGATGGAGGAGGCGTTGTCTCACAAAGTACTCAAAGCATGCACGGTCTTCATCAAAAAGTCGGTGCAGTTGCAAGCCAAATTCAATCGGGGAACGCTCGAGATGGCTACACAGCATGTCGACGCGGCCGTCGTTGATGAGTTGGGCAAGGTTGAACGAGCTGTTGGTCACTGCATCTTCGACTTGGGTTGAGAGATGCAATGGAACTTTGGCTGTCTTGGTGTCGAGGTCTTGTAGTTCGGCGAGAATTTCGTCAAGAGACATTTCTATGCGCTTGGGAACGCCATCTTGGATCTTGGTGCCGCCGACAAATTGACCGGACGTAGGGAGGTGGGGAGGGTCATCCGAGACGTCCAGCTTGGGTACAATCGTTGAGATCTTGTAATCGCCAAACTGAGCAACGTGTTCCTCGGGGTTGACACACACACGTTCGTCGAGGGCTTCAAACATGTTGGGCGAAATCCAAGAGCGGCCATGCTCGGGGGAATCCACTTGCTGTTGCGTCTTCTTGCGCTTGCCTCTCGACGCCTTGACGCCAGTCCACTGCGGAGGGTTGGCTTGCGCAGTTTTCCGACGTTTTGGCGCCTTGGGAGTCGAAGAAGGCGGGTTGGTTGGGCTGGGAGCTGGCTTGTTCAATCCATATTGGCGGGACGTTGCATCAAGGTCCAAACGAACCAAGTTCTTGTCACGAAAATACCACCCTTGACCGTACACGCGGAGACAACGGCCCTTGAAAAGAATTTCTTCGACGAGACGGCCGTCGCGCTGTATGGTCGTTGGTACGGAGGTTCCTTCAAAGTAAAGGCGGTACCGAGAGCTCGCCATACCGCTTGAAGAGGAAACGTTGGGGTAGGAGCCCCACAGGAAGCGTGGCTCCAACTTGGTCATGACGTCGAAGATCAGGCGCTCTTCGTCTTGATCTTGAAGGCCTTGAGGGATGTCCATGAAAAATCCGCCGAGGACGTGCGGAACGTTCATCGTGAAGTGTTGGGACGAGCCATCTCGAGCGACTTGAATCTTAAACGCGATGCCTCGCAGCTTCGTCATCGCTTCGTGAGAGGCAACACCCCACTTGAGCATGCGGTTCGGGATGTCCTTCTCGCATCTCACAATGTCAGCAATCGCAGTGTCGAGGCCGAGGGCTTGGTTGTCGAAAAGGATCGATGCCATGGCAGCTGAAACATCGATGGTCTTCGTGTGTGCACCCGTGGGCATCTGCAACCAGCCGACGATGCCGCGCGCCGAGTGCTTCTGGATCGGGAGGGTGTCTTCAAACGTGAGGGTTCCAGCAGCACGCTTGCGAAGGAGGGGTTCGAGTTCCTCCATCGTGGGCTGGTAAGGAGCAACGTCCTTGGTCTTGATGGCCTTGGCAGACTGAGACCGCTGTTGCGCTTGGAAGGCCCATACGTCGTTGGGGGCCTGGCGGTTGTTGGGTTGGCCACGGCCAGGTGTCTGGGCTCCGCCAGATTGAGAAATGTTTTCCAAATGCGATCCGGGTGAAGCCTGAGACGATGGCTGGCGGACTGAGTGAGAGTCCGAGTCGTGCGTCAGACCAACACTCAAGCGTGCGTCAGAGGCTTGGTCTTGTCCGGACCCTGTCCCATGGTGGACAGAGTCACACGTTTGACCTTCACTCGCGTTGGACTTCGAGAAGCTTCCATGGGTGACTTGGTCTTGAGTATTCCCATGACCAACACTGGCCACAGGGTTGTTCGCGATTGTTCCAGATCTTGCCCGATGATTCTTCGAGAAGAGACCATCACTCATGGAGCGACTAGTCTCGATGGGATCTTGACCTGTCGCCAGAGTGGACTTGTCGCTCGGGGGATTCTTCGAGAAGGGACCTTCACTCAGGGATGGACTATTCTCGAATCTTCCTTGACATGTCGTCATGTTGACGTCGGTGCTTGAGCGAGTCTTCGAGAAGCCACTATCACTCGTCGAGAGAACATTCTCGAAAGGAACAGAACCCAACGGAGTCTTGCCAGGCAAGCCACCATCACTCACGATGGACGTGGTTGATGGAGATTCTTCGGGCAAGGTCGTTGACGTCATGAGCACATCTTCCGAGGTTGGAACGCCGTCTTGCCAGGCTTCGTCGCAAGTGTCAGAGGTCGTTGGATCATTCGCGGGATCGCAAGCCTTCGTCGAGCGAGTCACAGGCAAGGGTTCAAAACGGCGCGGTTTCGAAGGGGTTGCACGTTGACGTGGAAACGGAACGCGCGTTGGAGTAGGGAGCGGATTCGTAGACGCGTCATGATGCGAAGCGTTGGAAGCATCGTCGACGTCCTCTTCCAACGACGACGCCATGTCGGTATCGCTTGGGGATGGGTCAGCAACGACGATGACGTCCATATCGCTGGGGCTGGACGCCGAGGGAGAGAACGCGGAGGAGCAAGATGGGGCACGAGGGTTGGTCGAGCGGGTAGCAACCATATTGTCAGATAGCGTAGAGTGGTACTGCGGGGTAGCTGGCAAATTGGAAACTGGGGGGTTGTAGCTCAGATGGTAGAGCGCCCGCTTCGCATGCGGGAGGTACAGGGATCGATACCCTGCTGCTCCAAAGTTTTATCCTTGTTTTGCACGTGTCGAAAAGGACAAGACAACGTTTTTCGGCCATACCTCTTTTCGCAATCGTCGTTTTGCCATTTGAGCGACGGGAAACGATAGAGAAAATCAAAAGCTGCATTTTGCGAGTTGGTGGAGCTCAAACGGAGCAGTAGAACAAAAGTTATGAGCAAAAAACGAATTCAATCGACTCTGCTTGACTTGTGTCGTGAGTTTCAACTTTGTCGAGAATTTATTGTTGTACCTCTATAAATTTATAGAGATCCTGCACACGTATAATGTGTCCTTTCACACTCGAGTAGATTGCAAGTATGTCTAGATGTAAAACCCAGACGTGTATCGTTCACGTTAGAAAAGAGTGCATTCTACATACTGCGTGTTCTCCAAGACTATCTGTCGACAAGAAACAATCGATGTGTGTTGTTTGATGCGTGTGAATGTTTGTTCTGTTGTGTTTTGAGTATAGACAGTTTGTGTGCATCCGCGTCGTCGTGTAGTGAGTCGCCAAAGAGATATTTTCGTCTTATTCTGAATGTTTGTCACCAAGGACAGAATATAGCGTTTAAAAGGGGTTGTAGCTCAGATGGTAGAGCGCCCGCTTCGCATGCGGGAGGTACAGGGATCGATACCCTGCTGCTCCAAAGTTTTATCCTTGTTTTGCACGTGTCGAAAAGGACAAGACAACGTTTTTCGGCCATACCTCTTTTCGCAATCGTCGTTTTGCCATTTGAGCGACGGGAAACGATAGAGAAAATCAAAAGCTGCATTTTGCGAGTTGGTGGAGCTCAAACGGAGCAGTAGAACAAAAGTTATGAGCAAAAAACGAATTCAATCGACTCTGCTTGACTTGTGTCGTGAGTTTCAACTTTGTCGAGAATTTATTGTTGTACCTCTATAAATTTATAGAGATCCTGCACACGTATAATGTGTCCTTTCACACTCGAGTAGATTGCAAGTATGTCTAGATGTAAAACCCAGACGTGTATCGTTCACGTTAGAAAAGAGTGCATTCTACATACTGCGTGTTCTCCAAGACTATCTGTCGACAAGAAACAATCGATGTGTGTTGTTTGATGCGTGTGAATGTTTGTTCTGTTGTGTTTTGAGTATAGACAGTTTGTGTGCATCCGCGTCGTCGTGTAGTGAGTCGCCAAAGAGATATTTTCGTCTTATTCTGAATGTTTGTCACCAAGGACAGAATATAGCGTTTAAAAGGGGTTGTAGCTCAGATGGTAGAGCGCCCGCTTCGCATGCGGGAGGTACAGGGATCGATACCCTGCTGCTCCAAAGTTTTATCCTTGTTTTGCACGTGTCGAAAAGGACAAGACAACGTTTTTCGGCCATACCTCTTTTCGCAATCGTCGTTTTGCCATTTGAGCGACGGGAAACGATAGAGAAAATCAAAAGCTGCATTTTGCGAGTTGGTGGAGCTCAAACGGAGCAGTAGAACAAAAGTTATGAGCAAAAAACGAATTCAATCGACTCTGCTTGACTTGTGTCGTGAGTTTCAACTTTGTCGAGAATTTATTGTTGTACCTCTATAAATTTATAGAGATCCTGCACACGTATAATGTGTCCTTTCACACTCGAGTAGATTGCAAGTATGTCTAGATGTAAAACCCAGACGTGTATCGTTCACGTTAGAAAAGAGTGCATTCTACATACTGCGTGTTCTCCAAGACTATCTGTCGACAAGAAACAATCGATGTGTGTTGTTTGATGCGTGTGAATGTTTGTTCTGTTGTGTTTTGAGTATAGACAGTTTGTGTGCATCCGCGTCGTCGTGTAGTGAGTCGCCAAAGAGATATTTTCGTCTTATTCTGAATGTTTGTCACCAAGGACAGAATATAGCGTTTAAAAGGGGTTGTAGCTCAGATGGTAGAGCGCCCGCTTCGCATGCGGGAGCTCACTCACTGCGTCATTGTTGGTTTTAACCCCAGTACTGACAATTTATTACGCTCGACCCAATTTCGAGTCCTTTTTGACTCCGAAACTCCTCCTTTGGCATTGGTACCAGATGATGGAGGCGAGCCTCTGAGAGAAATCGAGATCCAAAACCAAGTTTATGTTTTTCAACATAAAATTCGGTCCCTCAATCAAACGGTCCCTCCCAGCGTTCAAGCTAGACTGGAAAAAGCCAAACAAAAAGACGACGCTAAAAAGAATACAGACCATGTCGAGGAAAACGCTACAGAGGAAAAAACTGATGCTCCCGAAAATCCATCGACAGAAAACCAACCACCCAACACCCCGAAGGAAAATACTGGCACAACTGGAAACTCCGAATCCCCTAATGCCGATCCCAAGGAAAATCAAAATGGCAAGGAAAACTTTGTCGACCTGTCAAGCGATGTGGACATGGAACAAGAGGAGAAATCAAATATCGAAGAGGAAGAAATGGTAGCTCAACCCAAGAAGATATTAAATCCTCCACAATCACCCAAGGGCTCGAGCGAGAATAATATTATTCTCACAGACAAACCCAATTTATCCCAGGACGAATTTAAACCAACTCGAGCCGGTTTTATTCAAGGTCCCCAATACAAAATATCAGCTACCTCGATTCCAACACAAAATCGATTCGCTATCCTCAGCTCAGACGACTCTGACGTGACAACATCAGGCACAACGGTTCCTCGATTCCATCTTGATATCGTTCCTACCGACACGCCCAAAAAACGTCCTGCTTCGTCCCCAAAATCAACGATACCCAAAAAAATTCCAGCCTCTACGAAACCAGCAGGAGCCAAAGTGAAGGCTCAAATCACAGAGCTGAAGAAAAAACTGAATGAATCCACCAACCCATTGGTATTTCATGATGAAACCCTCAACCAACCTGGCTTTATTGGAAATATCTATATGGACCCAAAATCTCGCAAAATCGCATCCAATTTAATTGCCTCGAGAGGAATTATACGTTTAATGGCTGGAGAAAATCCCATGCAAGCTATTGATGAAGAACGATTTACCTCGTACTACCAAAAACAGCATGGCCATCCTCCTCCTGAAAATTACAGCCCCACAAATCTATTCCAAAGTTTGTGTCCAAATGACGAAGACTACCACATGAGAAGATCTCTAGCAGCAATCGATCTATTTCTGTCCAACAGAGCACCTGAAGCTTATACGAACGATGAGTATATTAATCTGTGCCTGAAAGACAAAGTCCACCGTTGGCCCAATTGCAATTTAATCACGGACGCCTCCTTGATTAAATTAATTTCCAGTCCTGCTGCTGGAAACCTGGTGCAACATCATAAAATTGAAGAAGAGTTGAGCCATATTGTGAAAGATCTGGCACTCCAAACAATTGACCCTACGAAGTGTTTTGACTCGGATACTGATGCCTTGTTAACTTTACTTCCGGACGAAAAGGCTCCTGAACTCGACTACAAAGAACTTGGCGATGGTGACAATGCAGACTCCAATTGACTCGCCAACACACAAAATCAATTAAAACCACAATCACCACACCCCGACCCAAACCAACACAACGACTTGAAGTCAAAAAATCAAAACCCAAATATTAATCATGACCGTGACCACAATTAACGCGCTACCACAAGCCATTATCGACTGGGATATTAGCTTGTTTTCTCTCAACACAAATGGTCTCTCCAACTCTTTCCACCACCTTCTCAAGAACTTTCTCCTCAAAAACTCTATCTCACTTATCCAAGAAACTCGACTGCCTTACCCCAGCGACCATGGCAAAATCAATTTCTACTGGAAAAAACATACCAACCAACAAGGCACTTTCTTCTACGAGGAGCCAATTTATTCCATCAGCCATACCTCTCATCCCACTGGAGGCCTTGCTACATTTATTCATCCTGACTGCCCTCTGGACAATTGCACCAATTTAAACCACTCTTGGGACAAACCTCTCCTCCGTGGTCGTTATTTACTTATATCGGCCACTCTGGACAATATCCCGGTTTTTATTCACAACATCTATGCTCCGTACGACTATCACGACCGTGTGGATTTTTTTAATGATCTGCCTCGCGATTTTCCACCCGAAGCTTTTCATATTGTTGGTGGCGACTTTAACGTTATTTTCTCCCCAACATTAGATTCATGCCGTCCTTCGACTCATGCGACCCATGGCTCATATGAACTCAACCTATGGCTACAAGATTTACACCTCGTTGACATTTTCCGTCAACAAAATCCACTGAAACGTGCTTTCACAAGTCCAAAATTTGTCAATCGGCTTGACTATATTTTCATCTCGTCTGCTATGGCATCCCTACGTCATCTGAAATTTCGTCACCTGGAACCAATTCCTCATGCTGACCACACTCCCTGCAAATTATTGACCAAACGTCCATCAGTATCAATGGGACCTGGTCCATGGAAAACACCACAATGGGTTCTCAACAATGACAAGGCCAAATTCATTATCTCTCGTCAACTTGAAACCTTCCTTACCAAGACCCAATTAAACTCAAATGTTGGTCTACATTTCGACACCATGATCACCAACATGCGAAATCAATTAAAATACCTACACGACGAGTTGGTCGAAAATCAACAAAGGCCTCTCAAGAAATTATCTATGGATTTGGCTTTATTGATTCGGGATTACCAAAACGCCCCATGTGCGTCCTTGATGGCACGTATCAAAACAATTCAAGCTGCCATACATGAATATCATGACAGGAAAAAAGTCCTACGGGAAGATACTGCTATGCAAACTCATCTCGAGAAAGCGGAAAGGTGTACCAAATTTCACCTGAAGCCACCTCGCACAATCCCTTTACAAAAATCTCCCTTCAAGGCACTCAAAATGTCCAATGGAAATATTGCTTCTGATCAACAATCAATTTCCTCGACACTCCACGAGTTTTATTCTGACCTGTATGGCGACCATGAGGCAGTTGACAAGGAAAGAATGGCCAAGTATTTAAAAACTCTGATATCTCGCCGACTCAATATCGACGACAAGAGATTTATTGGGGCTCCTCTCACGGCAAACGAATTTTATTTTGCCATTAAACACTCCAAACGGAATTCAACTCCTGGGCCAAATTCACTGCCCTACGAAATTTTGAAAATGTTTCCCCATGAATGGTCCCTGGCTTTGGAAATGCTATACTATTACCAAATCAACTCTCACTCCAACTTGGCACCCTCCCAATTGACAAGTTTAATTGTACTGCTGTACAAAAAGGACGACAAACTACTCCCAAAAAATTACCGTCCCATCAGCTTGGTCAATATCGACGTGAAAATCCTCACAATGGTCCTTGCAGAACGAATGCAGAGAATCATTCAGTCGATAGTCCACCCGGATCAAACAGGTTTTATTCGTGGTCGATCAATCCAAACCAATTTACTGCGCTTGGAAGACCTGAATCACTTTATGAAGTTTTATTCCTCCGAGTCTATTGTGGCCCTCTTGGACTTTGAAAAAGCCTTTGATAGGGTCAACCATTCCTATTTATTGGCAACCCTGAAGGAATTTAATTTTCCACCGTCCTTTCTCAACATGGTCAAAGTGCTTTATTCAAATCGTCGTGGACGAATTATTGTCAATGGACATTTATCCAACCCATTTAAGATCCAACGTGGTGTTTTACAAGGCGACCCATTATCACCTCTTTTATTTGTCTTGGCGCTAGAACCTATGTGTTTAGCCATACGCAAGAGAAAAGATTTGGGCATACGAATTGGTCATCACACTCACACCGGGAGCTATTATGCAGACGACTCCCAATTGTACTCCAAAAATACATCGACGTTGCAACTCCAACTCGACATCGTCAAAAAATTCTGTGATATCTCTGGTTTCAAGTTAAATCTCTCCAAGACAGAATTATTAACCCATGCCAATTTACCTCCAGACCTGGCACCTTTGGCTATTACTGATGACAAACCTGCTAAATCGTTGGGCCTTTTAATTTCTCCCAACATCACAGCCACAACACGTTTAAATTCGCTATTGGAGAAATTGGTCTCAAGAACACAACTATGGTCTTATCGAGCACGAACCCTACCCGGAAAAGTGACAATCCTAAGGTCAATTTGTTTTCCTGTGCTCTGGTATCAACTCCAATTTATTCCGATCGACAAAGAATATGCCAAACTATTCGACAAGGTCGCCAAGCAATTTATTCACGGCGATACAATTGATCCATATTCGACTCAACGTTATTTGCATCAATTCAACTCGGACATTATTTTCCTTCCAAAAGCACAAGGTGGTCTCGGATTTAAATCGTCTACCCACTGGTGGTCAAAACTACACCGGGTCATGACCTTTAAATGCTTCAAGCTACTCCTAGCACCACCTCACAACTCGTATGGTCAAACGAAATTGCCAGCATGGCTATCCATTGGAGAATATTTACTCTCCAGAGCCTTCAGTCCATGGGGAAATTTTTATGATCTCCTTTTCATGAGTCCACACTCTAGTATGTACAAAGCCATATCCCACCAAGATAAGGTTCCACCTCTCTGGTCAGCATTTACTCGACTATGGTTATCCTTATCTCCAACCCCACTTAAATTTCCCACAGTTCAAGTCGATGGAAATTTTCCACTTTGGCACAATCAATTCTTACCCTTGGAGAAAACTGTCTTTGAACACTGCTATCCAAAGACTTATGATTATGCTGTATCACTGGCAAAATTAAATTTTACCCATGTTCGCCACCTACTCGATGAAAATGGCAATCTTATGGATCGGAAAATCCTGTTAGATTGGATTAAATCTCAATGCTCAAGACGCCATTTAGCCACTCCCGATCATAAATGGTGGTATGCTCTACACGGAAGACTTAAGTCTATCCTTCCATCTCCACCCGAGGACACAGAAATTAATTTTCGTCAGCCTACACCTTATCGGCAAACGGCTACCGAAATTACTTGGGCTGGAAATTTTAAAGATGGCTTTTTACCCTTTATTGATGCCACCTTGGATGATTTAACTCATGAATTTAAATC